TAAACGTTTACTTTACATGGTCGGATAAGGTAAATATACAACAGGCTTTATACTGCATATGGATTCCCACACCATAGTTTGTTCATCACTAATTGATGGTAAAATCACATACGAAAAATCATAGAGGTCTCCAAGCTGTTAATACTTCTTGAAACATTTCCAGCATCAGCTGTCGATCAGCCTGCTTGAAGAAGTTATTGATTTCGTCTCTAACATCATAAATCTTGCCAAAATCAAACAAGTACGTTAAGCATCCTTTTTTGAGCTTGTTCAATTGGTAAAGCCAAGCCTCCTGCAGTCTCCCAAGGACATTCCCTGAGTTGATGTCTTCCAAGAGGCTTTCCTCGCAGGCATCTTTTAGGTCTGCAATATCATATTTGTTTGCCGCTCCCAGCAATGCTAGCCTATGCTTCCAGAAATCCTCTTGCTTTATGGTTCCATACAAGTAACTGAGAAGGGCTGTGCAAGACTCCATTGACATATCCTCTATGCAAATTGTGGATGACTCCTTTTCCTTGAGGTCGTGATGGAACATGCTCTGGAAAACAGGTGAACTTGCAGATAGAATCGCCTTGTGAGCTTTTAGAGTCCCATCAGCAGTATTGATGGTAACATCTGTATGAATACCCTCATCAAGCATGCGAGCAAGGCAGCGGAGGGTGCTTTCAGTTGAAAGAGATTGCATTGTCCCGTCAATGGGATATATGGAACTGGCTTCTCCACCCTAAGGCCAAAGGAAGCAGAAGTAAAATATACATAAAATCATAGGCTTCTAACAATCAGCATATAACCATCACAAAATATGCATCCATGCTCTCTTGAAACACAAACTTGTGATACATTACTTGGTTGATGAGGAAAAGAAAAAGGGAAAACACAAATTGTTTTTCCAGAACAAATACGCTACCATCCTTCGTTTTTTAAAAGGTTAATAGGAAAAAGAGTAAACGAGATCAGCAAATAAATAAAGGGGAGCAAGAAACAAGAAAGAGATTAGTTCAGAACCAATTATCATAAAAAAAGCAAACAGAAGATGCAATTGGCAAAGTGGGGAGTGAAAGAGAAGAATATAAAAGTTCACAGGCACCATCAGTTTACCATAATAAAACAAGTAAAAGGAGCTCACATTCAAAGGGCATACCCATATCTTCAAGTCTAGAAACTCAACATCAATGATGAAGCGACTATAGACTGTAGAATCAACAGGCCAGACAAAGTCTTCACTAGTTCGAAGCAGTCTCTCATGAACTGCAGAATTAAGCAAAGCAATAACCAGTTCATAGAATACAAGACAAACTACACTAAGTATAATTCATCAAACCCTTCTACTTTTGATATAGCTTTATTTCTATATAGCAAAAGACAACCAATATCATAATTTGACACAGAAAAGATAGATGCAGTCATATACTGAGGACCAGTGAAGCACATTCACTACAAAATATCATGTCAACATTCAGATATTTATTCTTTGAAACAAATGCCTCCAATCAGATAGTCTATTGGAAAAGATTGAAAATTGTTGCACAATTGCTGTTAAAGCAGCAACGAGTTTAGAACAAGTTTAACAAATTTTCAAAAATCATAAAATTCAAAGCTTTGATGTGTGAAAATTAAACAAATGATCTTCAACAAAGTTGCATCCAATCTAAAACCAATTGTACATAGTCCCAAGCTTAAGACTTGGCGGGCAATTCCATTCTCCGAAGCACAAGTCAAAATTGCTTCAAATTACACCAAAAACCAACAAAATCAAATATGAATATTTAACACGTCGGAACAGAGAAATGAAAAGGGATACCTGGAGAGATGTAGAATTTGCGATTAGCACCGGAGGTGGAGACACGAAGAACGAACCTGGCGATCGGAGGATTCTCCTTAGACAACTTGGAAGTTTCTGGAAACAAACGGATGTAAAGGTAGCGATTCTTCTCTATAGACAATTGCCTGTTGATTCAGTTAAGCAATCAGCAATAAACAAACCCAAAAAAAAAAAAAGGGATAGAGAGAAAAAGAGTACCAGTTCCAGATACCGACCTTGAAGGGGTCGGATTTCCGGTAAGAGCCAGGGCCAAAGTTTTCGATCCTCCATTGAGCAAGTCTGGAGATCGTCTCTACCTTCGAATCCGCCATTTTCTTCTTCTTCTTCTTCTTCTTCGTTTCTCTGCACAATCCTCGGTCCAACAGGGAGACTTAGCTGACTCTTCAATCTTCCGAAAGTTCACTCCTTTATTTGCCAAAAAAGACTTCCTTTGCAGGACACGTGTGCCAATTACTTGGCAGTGCGGCAAATTTACCCTCAACTTTCAATGATTATTTAAATGATCCCTACAATTTTTCTTCAAATGAGTGTCTCTTTATACTTTTAGGTTAAAAAAGTTAGCCCTCAATTCCGTAGTTTTAGCTCAAGCTACTAATCAATTTTTTTTATATAGAAAGAAATACAATATTAGATTAGTATCTGTTTGTAAAAAATTGAATTTGAAACTTGACTTATGGATTAAAGTACGTTCCACACATATTTCTCATTTTAGAGAAACGTAACCGTCATTGTGACTACACAAGAGAATGCAAGTTACTAATCATTTACTCTTTAAGTAAAAGCACCCTCAATTTAAGTTTTGATTCTTTGAGATAACATATTTCCCCTTTTTTTAGAATATTAAAATTATTTATAACCTATTAAAAAAATTAACCCTCTTATATATTTTTTTATTGAATTAAATTAGATTTTTTTGGCTATCATGGAAATAAATTAGATAAATTTGAACAAATAACATAATTATCACAAGTCATCATTTTGACTTTCCGTTAACCAATCACATTTGTTTATCTATAAAGAAAATATTTTGTTATTAAGAAAATAAGTCTAA